CCAACATCTCAGCTGCTGTCTGGAGTTCTTAGATCTCAGTCTGTGCTTGTTTTTATTCATTGTTCAGTGGGTTAGTTGCTGTGGCAGCAAATGGGAGTATCCACTCACTTCAACATCTCCCTCCACCTTCTGTAACTGTGTCTTTAGAAGGCCATTCCATCGTTCTATCAAGCCAGCTGCTTCAGGATGATGGGGAACATGGTAAGACCAGTGAATTCCATGAGCATGGGCCCATTGCTGCACTTCATTTGCTGTGAAGTGATTCCCTTGATCTGAGGCTATCCACCATGATGGTGGATAAGGCATTCTGTAAGCCCATGGATGGTAGTTTTGCCAGAAGCATTACATGCAGGGAAGGAAAATCTGTATCCAGAATAAGTGTCTATCCCAGTAAGAACAAAACACTGCCCTTTTCATGATGGAGGTGGTCCAATGTAATCAACCTGCCACCAGGTTGCTGGCCAATTGCCCCTAGGAATGGTGTCACATCAGGGACTCAGTGTTGATCTCTGCTGCTGGTAGACTGGGCACTCAGCAGTGGCTATAGCCAAGTTGGCCTTGGTGAGCGAAAGTCTATGTTGCTGGTCCATGCATAACCTCCATCCCTGCCACCATGGCCATTTTGTTCATGAGCCCGTTGGGCAATGACAAGAGTGACTGGGGAAAGAGAATGACTAGTATCCAAGAATGCATCATCTTATCCACTTGATTATTAAAATTCTCCTTTTTTGAGGTTGCCTTTTGGTGAAAATTCACGAGTCTCAAATATCTTGACTTCTTTGGTCCATTCAAAGATGTCTATCCACATACCTCTGCCCCATACCTCCTTGTTACCAATTTTCCAATCATGTTCCTTCCAAGTCCCTGATCATCCAGCCAAACCATTGGCCACAGGCCGTGAATCAATATAACAGTCAGACACCTGGCCATGTCTCCTTCCAAGCAAAAGGAACAACCAGGTGCACTGCTTGAAGTTCTGCCCACTGGGAGGACCGCCCTTCACCATTGCCCTACAGGATGTTCCTGGAAAGGGGCTGTAGTGCTGCTGCTGTCCACTTTTGAGTGGTGCCTGCATATCATGCAGAACCATCTGTAAACCCAGGACTGAGTGTTCTCTTCCTCAGTCAACTGATCATGAGGAACTCCCCATAAGGCCACAGGTGCAGATTGGGAAAAGGAAGGTAATGTGACAAGAGTGGGGACCATGGGCATCTGGGCCACTGCCTCATGTAACTTACTTGTGCCTTCAGGTCCTGCTTGAGCCTAATCTCGTATATACCACTTCCATTTAATGATGGAGTGCTACTGTGCACGTCTGACTTTATGACTCTTTGGGTCAGACAACACCCAGTTCATGATGGGCAGCTCAGGCTGCATAGTGATTTGGTGGCCCATGGTTAAGTGTTCAGTCTCTACTAAGGCCCAGTAACAAGCCAAGAGCTATTTCTCAAAAGGAGAGTAGTTATCTTCAGAGGATGGCAGAGCTTTGCTGCAAAATCTTAAGGGTCTGCACTGTGATTCACCAATAGGGGCCTTCCAAAGACTCCAAATAGCATCTCTATCTGACACTGACACTTCACCACCATTGGTTCAGCTGGATCATATGGTCCAAGTGGCACAGTGGCTTGCATGGCAGCCCCAACTTGTTGCAGAGCCTTCTCTTGTTCTGGACCCACTCAAAACTAGCAGCCTTTCAAGTAACTTGATAAATAGGCCAGAGTAGCACAATCAAATGAGCAATATGTTGCCTTCAAAATCCAAAGAGGCCCACCAGCATTGTGCCTCCTTTTTAGTTCTAGGAGGCAACAGATGTAACAACTTATCCTTCACTTCAGAAGAAATATCTTGACATACCCCACACAACTGGACACCTAGAAATTTCACTGAGGTGCAAGGTGACTGAATTTTTGCCCAATTAATTTCCCACCCTCTAGCATGTAAATGTTTTACCAGTAAGTCCAATACTTCTCACTGTGACAAAATTTTAGAAAAGTATCAAATATATAATCACTCAGAGCCTTGTCTCTCACAAATATTTGATCCAGTTGTGGTGATATTTTGTGTATTTCTATTGCCACCTCATGCCATGGATTAGCAGTGCCCTCTTTACTACTGGAGGCAGAGTTATCAGCACCTTTAAGACTAGCCAGACTTGAGAGCCAATTCAGAAAATTCATCCTTCCAATTTTATTCCTCTAGAACCACTCCCAGTACCAAATATCTTAGATGGGGTTCTCTAGCAGAGCAAAACCAGTGAAGTATATATATATATATATATATATATATATATATATATACATATATATATATATATATATACACACACACATATATATATACATACCCCAAAACCAAACCTGTTGCTGTTGAGCTGATTCTGACTCATAGTGATCCCACAGGGCAGTGTAGAACTGCCCCATAGGGTTTCTGAGGAGTGGCTAGTGAATTTGAACTGCCGGCCGTTTGGTCAGCAGCTGAGCTCTTAAACAATGCACCACCATGGAAACATATATGTGTACATATGTATATATATGTATATATATGTATATAGACAAAGAGAGAGAAAGGTATTTCTTTCAAGGAAATGGCTCACGCAGTTGTGAAGGCTGGTAAATCCCAAATCCATGGGTCCAGTGTCAGGCTGGAGGCTTCTCCTGACTCATGTGGTTGCAGGGGCTGACGAATGCAAAATTGGCAGGTCAGATGGCAGGCTGCTCACTCATGTCCCAAGAACCAGAGGTCAGAGGATGAGGATGATGGGTCATATGAAGGATGGAGAGGGCAAGCTTTGCCAGAATATCCACATATATTGGATGCAGGCCACACCCCCAAGGAAACGCCTCTTTTAACTGATAGGCTGCTCAGAACAAATCACAAAATGGAGGATGATTACATAATATCTGCCAAACCACTGAGAACAATGGCCTAGTTGACACATAACCTTATTAACCATCACAGGTGTCAACCTAGGTAATCTTTACTTTTCAAGACTCATGTAACTTGACATTTCATTGAGTCAATATTTATATTTGCTAATCTTTCCATGGAAAATAACGACCTGAATAGTAGGAAACAGAAGTATTTCTTTTCATGTGGCTTATAGAGAGGCTCAGAATTAGACTTAGTCATAAAATTGGCACATTTTATAAAGAAACTTTGGGAGGACAGGGAGCTTCTTACATCTCCTATTCGCATTTTCACAAGTGTCTGACACAAATTTCACTTTCCATAAGGCATTCTTACTGCCAGCCTGGATGAATTCGTGAGAGGTGGCCCTTAATATGTCTTTGTTTTATTTGGTGAAGTGGGTCAATGACAATGACTTCTTTTGTCACATGGTAGGTAGATATGCAAAGTTTCCAGAAACAGTGGCGACTGGAATGTAAAGAATCGTGCCAATGAATATGAGGCTTTTGCTTCATTTTAAACCTAAGACTGATTGTTTTTCCTGCCACTTAAGGGCCTCTCCAGTCCTTTCAATTCCATCATCACTAAGGATGTGTAGAGAGAATGACAATTTATGGTAATATTAGAGTAAAACACAATCAGAAAGTAAATTTGATGCAAGAGAATATGTGTGTATTGCAAATAAGTTTTTTGGACTTAATCTCAGCATGGCTGCTGCAAAACTATCAATAACAGAACTGACTCAGGTTGTTTTTCAGTCTGAATTTAACCAATATTGTTGTATTTTTGGGTTTCAGTACCTTCTATTCCCTATAATTGCTTTTACCAGGGGTCGGTGTGTGTGTGGGGGGGGCAGGAGGGAGGTAAAGTGAAGGGAGTGAAGATGAACGTTTTCCAGGAATTGAACCACAAAGAGCCTCCTGTCATATATGGGGTACCCAGATTCCTCAGAAAGGTAACCTAATTGAAAGGGCAAGGTATCCATTTTAATTTTAACACAAAACCTGGTACATGGTTGGTGCTCAACATACATGGCTGGAGCCTGGGGTGCCCAACAACGTGCACAGGGGCCGCATGGAAGAAATTTAAGACCTTGTCGTTCAACCCTAGGGACGGACGCTCTATAATTGAAAACAAGATTTCACAGAGCAAGATTAAACGTTAAATTTTAGTCGTCAGAACCGGTTAATTCCAGTAACCCTTAATTCCAGCGATACCTTCGCGACCTGAGCCTTCTCTCTTTCTCGCCCAAATGCCAGGTCAATCAAAGGAACTGGCGAGGGCAAAGCTGTGGGTATGGGTGCAAGTTATCAGTATAGCGCAGATCGTTGACCTTCTCTTCTCGCACACCCAGACCGGAGGGCGGGACGCTTCCGGGGAGCCCGCAGCGGCGCGAGACCGGAACGCGGGCGACGGGCAGGGGAGGGGCGGTGGCGGGGCCGGGAGCGTGCGCGCGCACCTCATACTCCACCGCCCGGGGACGCCCACCCGCGAGTAGGGGCTGGGTAGCTGGCCCGCGCCCCATCCACCCCCCCCCAATTCCGGGTTCCTTTCAGACGTGCGCCTAACGAGTGTGGGACCCACAGCTGCTCTGCGCTCACTCGGCCTAGGGAGGAAGGGGACTAGGCCCGGGCCGCAGTCCCGCACCGCATGGACGTGCTGCCTCTCCCGCTACCGCCAGAGCGAGGGGCTGCGAGCCACCGGAGGTAGCGCGGAGGAGGGCCCCACGGCAGCCGGCGGCCGCGGGGCAAAAGACAGCCTGTTTCTGCTTGCCCGAGGCGCGGCTGGTCCCGCGCGCCCAGGGCCGCCGCCTCCCCGGCTCTGAGCGAGGAATGAGCAGGCGCCTGCCTGGGCCCTCGGACTGAAGAGCTGCGACTCGGCTCCTTCCCCCACCGCGTAGCCGCGGGAACTTGGTCACCGCGGCCGGACGCGGCGGGGTCAGCGGCAGCCTCGCTCCAGGAGCAGGCGCCGGGGTTAACTTAACTGGCAGCCGAGAGGAGGAGGAGCCGGGCGGGGGCGGCCGCCGGTTCTCCCCTCCCCCCCCCAACACGCCGGGGCTTTTTCAGTGGCCGGCGGAGAAGGAAGTTCCGCTCCCTGACAGACCCGTGCGGTAGCGACAGCGGCGGCGGCGGCTTGGAGGGCTCAGGTATTTTGGACCCGATTGCCCTTCGCGCCCGCCGTCCAGGAGCGGCATTAGAGCTCCCTCCGCCGCCCCGAGGCTGCGAGGCAGCGTCGGGAGTTGCCCGCATCCGAGGAGACCTTCCTGCCACTTCATCCAGCGTCACTGCTTCGGCTTCCCAGCGAGGTGGCAGACCTTCCTTTCGTTTTCGCAGACTTCTGGGGAGATCCTTACTTTTTTTGCACCAAGGTTAAGAAATTCTGGAATAGAAGCGCTAGAGGAGGTTCAATGAATCTTCTTTAACTCTGGGATCAAGTAAGGCCCCCCGTTTGGGGCGGGAGACCGTATTTGAGCATCTCAATGGGGAGCAGGAATGGAAGAACCCACCTTGCATCTTTTCTGCAGTGTTGCTTGCTGATGTACCGCTAGGAATGAAGAGGAGACTTGTGATAACCCGAGGAGATACTGAAAGCCAGATGGGAAAGAAAATACCACCGGACACACACTAGTGAACGTCTGGGGGGGTCACAGAATTTTCTGAATGTAATTGGACGAGCATGAAAGAGGAGCTCTCTTAAAAAGCACAACAAACCCTTAAGAGAAGCACTGAGTTTACCCTTTTTTTGTTGCCAAGATTTTGAAGATTGTATTCAATGTATTGTCCATTTGATATAAGATGAAAACTTTATAAAGTATTCTATCCAAGAGCGTGAACGATGACTACCCCCGCCCTGCTGCCCCTGTCTGGACGGAGGATACCGCCTCTGAACCTGGGGCCGCCCTCCTTCCCACATCACAGGGCTACCTTGAGACTGTCCGAGAAGTTTATCCTTCTCCTTATTCTTAGTGCCTTCATCACCCTGTGTTTTGGGGCATTCTTCTTCCTTCCAGACTCTTCAAAACACAAGCGCTTTGATCTGGGTTTGGAAGACGTATTAATTCCTCATGTAGAGGCAGGCAAGGGAGCTAAAAACGCTGGAGTCTTCCTGATCCACGGACCCGATGAACATAGACACAGGTTGGTTTGTTACTGAAATTCTAGTATTAACATTTGGCAAAACAAATATCAATTTGTTTTTTTTTTCAGTACGATGTTATTTTTCCTGAGTCGTAGGAGTTGTGTAGTGATTTCAGAACTGGTTAAATAGAACCGTAGGCTGAAAGCACTCCTAGAGCCTCATCTAAAGTTCAGCTCCTTCCTTTTATGTAGGAGAAACAGTAGTGCTCAGAGAGGTGGTGTCTGATGTGGACAAATGGGAATGGGGATATGAGAACTTCACCTAAGAAAATAGTGCTATATGCTGCACCTTTATTTTTTCAGAATGTGTCGCCCTCAGTCATACATTGAATCATGACAGCCCCAATGGGTTGTTCTCTCCCAAAGGGCTATCATTCTATCGCTCGTAGTTAAAGATTAGTGGTGAATCTTAGCTTTTTAGGAAGACACTCTTGGATGGAATATACCTGTCATTTCTTAACGTGAAAATAGTGATTGTTATTTTAAGGGGATGTTGTTGGTACTCTATATGGAATGAGTTAAGTTCAAGCTACCATTACTGAGCTAAAAGGGTGTTGGTGGGGGGGAACCTCTGGAGTGACTTCATTACTGAGCTAAAAGTGTGTCCGGGGGCCATGGTCTCAGGGTTTTTCCAGTCTCTTTCAGACCAGTCTGGTCTTTCTTTTTTTTGAGGGGCCTTACTTTAACCGGAAACTCTGGTGGCACAGTGGTTAAGAGCTATGGCTGCTAACCAAAAGGTCAGCAGTTCGAATCCACCAGGTGCTCCTTGGAAACTCTGTGGGGTGGTTCTGCTCTGTCCTGTAGGGTCGCTATGAGTCAGAATCAACTCGACAGCAATGGGTTTTTTTTTTTTTAAACTGGTAAGTAATGAAAAATAAACCATTGCCATTGTATTTTCTTATTCATAGTACTTAAGACATACTTGTTGAATTAACTCTTTTTTGTTAATGATTAGTTTAATATAGTAGTTAGGTACTTAAGCTATAAAGTTAGACTCTCTGGATTCATGCCCTGTTTTGTCATGGATGAGATGTTTAATACTGAGCAAATTTTTAAATTTCTCTGTCTAGATTTCGTCTTCTGTATGAAAATGGCATGTGGGTTGTATTGAATGAGATAAGATGTACAAAGCAGTCAGCACAGTTCCTCCAGTTTAGTAGTTGCTCAATAAATGTTAGCTGTTATTATTGTTGGAGTGCTGGTGGCGTAGTGATTTAGAGTTTTGGCTGCTAACCAAAAGTTTGAATCCACCAGCCGCTCCTTAGAAACTCTATGGGGCAGTTCTGCTCCGTCTATAGGGTCACTGTAAGTCGGAATTGATGACAGCAAGTTTTGTTTTTTTGGTTTAGTATTATTATCAATAATTGTAATTTTAATTGAGTCTACTTTGCTTTAAATAGTGTACATATTTTAAAATACATGAGAACTTTACTTTCTAAAGGAACATTTTAAAAACTAGACTGTTGTTCCTTGCCTGTGTATTTATTGCATGTGTGCCAGGCCCTGCTTTTATGGAGCTTCCCATCTAGGGGGGATGACAGATAAGTAAATTTTTTTTTTTTGTGAGTTGTAGTGAGTGTTACTAAGTTGTAGCTACTGCTATCAGAGCACATAATGGGGTGAACCTAGTCCGTTGGGGGGCAGTGGAAGTTGGGGAAGGCTTCACCAAGAAAAAAAATGGCTCAGAAACTTAGAATGAGTAGAGAGATCGCTAAGCAGAGATGTGGGGGAAAATTTGTCAAAGCAGAGGTCACAACACATGTGAGAACCCTAAGTTAAAAGAATGGCTAGTGTAGAGATCTGAGAAACATTTAGTATGGCTAGTGTAGAGAGTAGCAGTGTAGGGCAAGGTGAAGAGACTAGATAAGGGATCAGATTCAGCCTACCTTCACATTATTTTGCCTCCATGTTGTTCCAAATGCTTCAATTAGTTGCTAGCATTTAGAGATCAGGAGATTTTACATAAAATTCTCTGGATTTCTGATTTTTCTTGAAAAATTAAATGATACGGCATCACCCAAATCTGTATTTTCAGGTGGCAGCACTAAGCTGGAACTGGGCTGCTGTTTTTAGAGGGACATGTGCTCTCCATGATATGCCACTCAGTTAAGGAGCCACATAAGTAAATCTAATGAACCAGTATTTAACCTGATTATTGTTGAGTTTGCAGTCCCTAGGCAGGATCCAGCAGAGTTTGTAGACCATGATAAATATTTTGATCTTTATTCTGAGAGCTGTAGGAAGTCATTGAAAGGTTTTAATAAAAGTTAGAGAATTACATGATCATTTTAAATTTTGTAAAAATTTAAATAATCACACTGATTGTAGTGTGAGGACTGGATTGGAGACTAGCAGGAAGGAATGTTGTGAAACCAGTTAGGAGGGTCTAGGTGGCAGGATACTGGTTTATACCACATTATTGATAATGGAGATGGAAAGAAGTAAGTGGAAAAGAGTGATGGGTTCAGTAGATGTTAAGCTATTACATTTCACAGAGATTAGTGATTGAATGTGGAGGCTAAGATAGGATGAGGGAGTTCAGGATAACACTTAGGTTTCTGGGTGATATGGCAATGGATTACTAAGAAATATGCACTATATTCAATTCATGCTTTAACTTATATAATTGATTTGAATGATTTATATAACTTACAGAATCATATGACTTAACATTAATTTAGGATAAAATATTTTCATGAGAAAGCTACTATGTCCCTTCTATTAAGTGGTTCATAAATGATCCAGAGGGTTTTTTTTTTTTTGGTGCGTGTGTACTATTTCATTTTGTTGTTGTTGAGAATGTGCACGGCAAAACATACACCAATTCAACTATTTCTACGTGTACAGTTCAGTGACATTGATTACATTCTTCAGTTGTGCAGCCATTCTCACTCCTCTTTTCTGAGTTGTTTCTCCATCATTAACATAAACTTACTGCCCCCTAAGGTTCATATCTGATCTTTCTAGTTGCTGTTGTCACTTTGTTCCCATACAGATAGTTCTTAAAAGAGCATAATACTCCAAGCAGACATTTTTTTTTGACTAGTTAAGCTAAATTATTGTTTGATTTTAAGAAGACTTCAGGGGATATTTTTTGCTTAAGTTTTATAGATTATCTCAGGGCAGTAGTTTCAGGGGTTCACCCAGCCCCCTTGACTCTATAAAGGCTGCAGTCCATGGTTGTTATTACTGTTATTGCAAAACTGTGTATGTTATAGCGTTAACTGAAATTGTTCCTTATTGTGTACTTTTGGTGTCTTCAATTGCCTTGGTCAAGGTGCACAGACTTCACCCATATTGGGTATTACCTTTCCAATCACCAAAAATAACAAGCGTCTACTATCTACAAAGCTGCTCCACTTCTCTACCCCTGACATACCTGGTAACCATCAAAGAACATTGCTTTCTGTGTGTATACCTATTCTACCAGCAGTGTATAAGAGTTCCAGTGTCCCCACAACCTCGCCTCCATTTGTTGTTTTGTTATTTTGACAGTGCCAGTATTGTCTGGGTGATACGGCATCTTATTGTAGTTTTGATTTGCATTTCTCTGATGACTAATGATGGAGAGCATTTCCACATGTGTCTGTTAGCTGCCTGAATGTCTTCTTTGGTGAAGTTCATATGTTATCTTCCAGGAACTTTACAGTTTTAGCTTTAACATTTAGGTCTTTGATCCATTTTGAGTTAGTTTTTGCATATGGTGTGAGGTGTGAATCCTGTTTTATTTTTCTGCAGATGGATATCCAGTTTTGCCAGCCCCGTTTGTTAAAAGAGACTGTTTCTTCCCCATATAATAGATTGCAACCCTTTGTCAAAGACCAGCTGGCCATAGATGGATTTACTTCTGGGTTCTCTGTTATTTTCCATTGGTCTGTGTGTCTGTCATTGCACCAGTACCAGGCTGTTTTGATTACTGTAGCTGTATAGTAAATTTTGAGATTGGAAAGTGTGAGGCCTCCTACTTTGTTCTTCTGCTTCAGTACTGCTTTAGCTATTCAGGGTCTTTTTTTTTTTTTCCATATAAAGTTGGAGTTTAGTTTTTCCATTTCATTAAAGAATGTTGTTGGGATTTGGATTGGGATTGCATTGTATCTGTAGATCACTTTGGATAGTATTGACATGTTCACAATGTTAAGTCCTTCAGTCCATGAGCATGGAATGTCATTCCATTTATGTAGGTCTCTTTTGGTTTCTTGCAGTAGTATTTTATAGTTTTTTTTTTTTATAAGTCTTGTACATCCCTGGTTAGGTTTATTCCTAGGTATTTTCTCCTTTTGTGGGCTATTGTAAATGATGGTGTTTTCTCGATTTGCTTTTTGGAGTTCTCCTCCTTAGTGTAGAGGAACTCAGCTGATTTTTGTGTGTTGACCGTGTACCTTGCCACTTTGCTGAATCCTTCTATTAGTTCCACTAACTTTCTTGTGGACTCTTTGGGGTTTTCTGTGTATAGGGTCATGTCATCTGCTAATAGAGATGGTTTTACTATTTCCTTCCCAATTTGGGTACCGTTTATTTCCCTTTCTTGCCTTATTGCTCTGGCTAGGACTTCCAGTACAGTATTGAATTAGAGTGGTGATAATGGGCATCCTTGCTCTCAATCTTTCTTCCTTGAGAATAATATTGGCTGTTGGTTTTGCATACATGTCCTTAATTATGTTGAGGAATTTCCATTCTTTTCGTATTTTGCTGAGGCTTTTAATCAGGAAACGGTGTTGGATTTTATCAAATGCCTTTTCTGCATCTATTGAGATGATCATGTGATTGTTTTTCTTTGTTTTATTTGTGTCGTGGATTATGCTGATTGATTTTCTAATATTGAACCACCCTTGCATCCATGATATGAATCCCACCTGACCATGATGTATTATTTTTTTGATATGCTGTTGATAATTCTGGGGTAATGTTCTGTATACATTGGCTAGAATTTTGTTGAGAATTTTTGTGTCTGTATTCATGAGGGATATTTTCTTTTGTAAATTTCTTTTTTTGTGGTGTCT